CTGAATAGTGGTAATAAAACTCGGTATAATATTTCATTAACTTGTAAATTCAGTTCTTGTTAACTTTAAAAGCAGATATTGAAGCAGAGATTGAATGTCAGAGTTTAAAAAGATGATTGATTATATTCTGAATAAATACTGACTGGGAGAATATTTCTTCTATTATTAGATCTAGAATTTACTGTACTAGTTAATTCTCTTCAGACTCAATTAATTTGATTGAATTTATATATAAATTTATATATACAGGTCAGCTGTTAAGTCTATGATATAGAATAGTATATAAGATCTTATGAAGATATGCAGCTTCACAAAATGATGTAATTTTATTATTTTTTAAAGCTTTTATTATAAGTTCAATTCTTTTTTTATTTTTTATAAAGTTTTTTATATTTTTATTGCAAATTAATAGTATTCTTATATATTGAAATAGATGAGTTAGAAAGTTAAAGCTTATTTAAATTTGATAATTTGCTCAAAAGTGTAGTTCACTTAAAAGTGAATTATATTAGTAGAATTAATAAAGTATTTAAATAATTAAAAAATATATTCATAACTATTTTTATATTACTTATTTTTAACTCTAATTATATTATAGTTCTAAAGAAAAACTCATCAGACTATATAATAAAAGAGACTTTTATGTAATATGATGATAATAATATTCTATATCTCTATGTATTCATATCAAAAAAGATATCATATATAAAATATAATTATAAAATTTATGATAAGAAATTATTTAATAATTATATTCTATTTAAAGAAATAAAATTCAAAACTTTTTAGTATTAATATTTTCAATATTATAACTAATTATAAAAATTTATAATATTTAATAATAATTTACAAGCTCTTAAAATATTAAATATACTGAGTTGAGCTTTTTATTTATATTTACTTTGTAATTTACTATTATTTATATTCATAAAATTTAATAACTGATATTCTTTATTATTAAGAGTAAGATATATTATTCTTTAAGTTTAATAATAAATAATAGAACTATGAATAATATTTTTCAAATCTTATTATATTAATTGATCATATTATTTTCAATAATATCATTCATTGTAATACTCTATATTCTATTATGAAAAGACTTGATCACTGTTATATTAGTTATATTTATAGTCTTATCATATTATAATAGACTTTTTCTTGAAGAATATTTTTATCAAGTTATTATTAATAATAAAAGCTATCAACTTCTTATACAAACTACTCAGAATGATCAGTTTAATTTCTCAAAAAAATTAACTATATACATTATTATAGATTATTTGTTTGATAATAATAATTTTTATAAATTTGTAAAAGAAGATAAATATTAACTTTTAAATTATTATAAATATATATAATTTAATAAAGTTATGATTTTGTGATGATATAATATTTTAGTTATGAACTTCTATATCAAACATTTTTATACAATTTTTTCTAATTAAATATATCAAAAAATATTTGTTATTTTATTAGAAATTACAATTTCTATGATATTATTATATAGTAAAATACTAGATATTAAAGTTTTCTGAAGTTACTATATATCTAAAATTATATATAAAAAGATGTAGTTATTGATTTTACAATATCTATTTTAAAAAATAATAACTATGAGAATGTTATAATTATTATTAATTAGTTAATTTAATAGAAAGATCAAAAAAGCTTTATAAATTATTTTCAATTATTATAAAATAAATCTTTAAAAATTTTTTTTAATACTTTTAAAATATCATTTATTATAGCTATAGAAAGAGAGGTATAAAATCTACTATTAGTTATTAGATTTAATAAAAATATATATAAATTATTTAATTTAAATAAAAGTATTTATTTTATATTTTTTAAATATATTTAAAAAAAATTTAAGTAGAGAATAATTTCTAAAATAAAATTAAAATTTCAGAAACTCAATAAAAATTTTATCTTCTCAACTATAGAGAATATATGCTATAAAAATTTAAATCACAATGTGTTCTATTTTTTTAAAAAAAATTTAAGCTTATTAATAGATATTATTATCAACAAATGTTAGACTCAGCGCTGGGGCTAGGTTCATCCCCATCACGTGATCACACCCCACATGTAATCTAGTGGATTGGTCATGATTCAGTCACATGATCATGTGAGCTGTTTATAATCTGAGCAGACTCTGACATCTTTTTTTCTCATCAATCTTAGAATTTCATTACATAGCAGTTAGCAATGCAGAGAGTTTCCTTCTTATGCAGCTCACATTCACTTTTTAACATAATTCTAAGATTTCTCTTCTACTTTTTTATTCAAGTTTCAGTAGAAAATTCAACTATCTCAGTTGAATTAGAATCTGCTAGTTGAGAGCCTGACAATATATCAGATCAACTGTTGAAGACAATAGCATTGTCAAAGACAACAGCTCAATTCAACATCAGATGACCACTGCAGGCTCCCAACCCCTTGCAAGAGGTCAAATGAACTGATGATACATTCTAACAAGATCAATCAAATAATCACATATCTCAATTGAAGAATTCAGAGAAGCAATTCACTCAGATAATAATCATATTTATAATGAGTTAACAGTGATCTTTGATGACATCTTTGACAATAAAAAATCATTGAGAGATATAATTACATATCTAAAAATGAAATAGAATAATACTACTAATCAAACTGCTGTCAAGTAAAGTCAGATTGATGAGCTAATTGCTGAATATGATGAACTTAGTCACATTCTGATTCACATGACAGTCAGCAATCAAACAGCAAGTTGAGATGTCATCTTCTCTGAGACTGCTAGAAGATTTGTTAAGATTGATGATCTGAAATATCTCACTGACAGCAAGAAGTCAAAATTTAAATATTGGTTCTTTCAGATGAAGAATAAGCTCCGAGAGAACACTGACTATTACTCTATTGAACATATGAGAATTATGTATATTGAAAACTGAACTGATGAGAATGTGGTATATCATATTGCATCTCATATGAAAGAGAATTATTCTGAATGATATTAAAATACAGAAGAGATATTTGAGCATCTCAAGTCAATATATGAGAATTCTAACAAGCTGCAAAATGTCAAGAGTGATTATCATAAGCTGATTATATACAATGAAAATAATTATCATGAATTCATCATAAAATTATTACATTTGATGAGTGAGATCAAGATTGTCAAGAAGAACTACAAGATAGACTTCAATGATAAGCTATTCTTTGATCTTCAAAAGATGATAGCATTAGTCAATGTAATTATAAATACATATGCTGAGTTTCAGAAGATCTATGCTCAGACAGCTCACATTTTTCAGATAATTAATGTCATTCAGAAGTCAAAGAATTTGTAGAAAAATAAATCTAATACTATTAGACAAAATATCTTACAGATCTTCAATAGTTAAACTCTTTCTGATATCTTTGCTACAAAATCCTCTATCATGAAGAAAACTGTGAGCACTCATTCAGACATTCAATGCTACTACTGCAAGGAGAAAGATTACATTATAAGAAACTGTCTCATGAAATAGAAGTCTCAACAGATAATCACTAAGATTACAGAGAATGATACTTTTGAGTTTTCAGTAGATTTGAGAAAAAAGTAAGTTTGAAAGAAGACTTCATCTCAGGTAGTTCAATAGTCTATGAGAAGTTTGATATGAAGAACTTAATTGAGAGAAAAAGCTTTAATATATCAATGAAGTTAATCTATAATGAAATTACTACTTCTATAAATTTTTTTACTGATACTGAAGTGAATGATATAAATTTTATTGATATTCAATATGTCATAGAATTAGTGAAATTCTTCAATAAAAGTTTCAAGAATTCTCATTCAAATGCCACATGAAAAGATACAATGATACCCTCAGTAGAGTAGTAAACTGCACATTGACTCTAAATCTCTAGGTGAATAACTGAAGATTTCGGAATATTTCTCTGCTAATAACAGACCTAGGTCAGCACTTTGTTATTCTGAGATGAAAGTGGTTGACAGCATAGGATATATAACTTGATGTTAAAAATCAATACCTGGTTTGGCTGAGTAAATAGTCTATCTTTGAACAGACGATGGAGCTAATGTTGAAGATAGTATCTTAGTCAATACTAAAATGCTCAGACCTTAAGCCTAAGTATCAGATAAATATAAAATAAAGAGAGATCGAACTGGACAAGAAGATCAAACAGGAGTATTAGACTCAGCTCTGTAAATTGAAAGGGATCAGCTCAGTCATAATATCTAAAACAAGGTAGAGATTGACCTGGAGGAAGACAGCATTATAGATAATAAATATAAACTTTATTGAAACTGTTTTTTTTCATAATTATATGAAGAATAAGAACTTGACAGTCTTCATAATCAATTTATATGAAATTGATAAACAGCTTAAGAAGAAGTGAAGTTTATTAAGAGCTGAGAATAAGTCTGATGAGAAGCTGATCTGCAACTTATCAGAATGATTGAAAGGCTAAGAGGACTATTTCTTAAAGAAAGTATCAGATAAATTACTTTCTCTACAGAAAAATATTAATTTTACAATAGAGCTTCAGCGTAATGTTGATTTCATCTAGGGTATTGGACATGCATCTCTATATAAGATAAATCTAAAGAAATTAAAGGTGGTAAAGATCTATCTCAAAGTCAATCTAGTAAAAGACTTCATCATCTCAAGTTCAGTCTTTTACATCTTCTCAATTCTGATTATCTGTAGTGGGAAAAAGTTATGATTCTGCGTTAATTTTCACAAGCTGAATGCTATAATCAAACAAGATTAGTATTTCTTACCTCTAATAGATGAGCTGATGGACTGACTCAACAGAGCAAAGTACTTTACAAAGCTGAACATTCAGCAGAAGTTTTATTGCATCTGAATGAATTCTGAGTCTGAGGACTTAATCATCTTTAGAACTCACTATGAGATCTACAAATATCACATGATTCTATTTAATCTTATAAATATTTCTGCCAGTTTTCAACAGCTTGTTAATAGTATCTTCTTTGATTATCTGAATAAGTTTATAATAACATTTATAAATGATCTTCTAATCTATAGTAAGAATCTGAAGGAGCACAAGTAGTAGATAAATTCAGTACTAGATCAATTAAAGGCAGCTGATTTGCAAGCTAGCATTCAGAAATATGAGTTCACAATCTAGAAAATAAAATATCTATAGTTTATCATCAGCACAGAAGAGATTGAGACAGACTCAAAGAAGATAGCTGTTATTGTGAGATGATAGATCTTCATCACAGTTAAAGAAGTTTAGTCATTTATAAAATTTAACTATTTCTACTGATGATTTATAAGAAACTATAGCTGAATCACAAAATAACTATATTAGTTAATGAAGAAGACTATTTCATTCATGTGAATATCAGAATACAAATTAGTCTTTGAAAAACTGAAGAGACAGCTGATGAAGACTTCAACACTACATTACTATAACTCTGAGTAAGAAACTCATATTGAGACTGACATCTCTAATAAAGTGATGACTGAAATATTATGTCAAAGATTTGAAAATGATCTTTGACACTCAGTAGTCTTCTATTCAAAGTCAATGAATGATATAGAGTTTAATTATGAAGTTCATGATAAGAAAATACTGACAGTAGTCCAGGTTTTATAAAAATGACAAGTAGAGCTTGAGAGACTATAACAGAAGAAACAATTCAAGATTTTCACTGATCATCATGTACTGAAATACTTCATGACTATCAAGAAGCTGAATGCATATCAAGCTCACTGAGCAGAGTTTCTTTTCCATTTCTACTTTGAGATCAAGTATCAATCAGACAGGATTAATCTGCTAGTAGATGCACTGAGCAGACCTGAGCAGATTAGAAGACAACAGAACAGCTGTATGCAGATTCTTCTAGAATCAAAGATTCTTAATTCTCAGATCACTTCTTCTATAAATATTACTAGTATCAACTTCTCAGAGAAAGAGAATATTATTGAATATATAGTATCTTTAAATAAGATAGTCATCTCAATTGAGCCTCTGCAGCAACAGGCAAATGATAAGAATAGTCTCTATATAATGAAAGATAATATGCTACAGTATAATGAAAGACTAGTAATATTTGTTTAGAAAAAGAAAACTTTGATAGCTGAGTTATTGCAGAAAATTCATGATCAAGCTTTAACAGCACACTCAAAAGAATGAAAGACTCTAATTCTGATACAATCATGCTATTGATGAGTCATCTAACAGGCAGATATTCTACATTATATTCAGATCTACTATGTGTGTTAGATCAGTAAAATCTCAAGAGATAAGACTTCTGATTTGTTAAAGTCATTATCAATATCAGAATGAGCATGACAACATATTACAATGAACTTTATGAATGTGTTGAAAAGCAAAACAGATTATAACATTATTTTGATTATAGCATGTTAGCTAAGCAAGAAGACAATCTTCATTTCAATCACTCAGAAAGTTACAGCTCAAGAGCTGATCTGACTATTCATTCAATTTTACTATTTATATAATAAAACATCTGACTCAATTGACTCTGACTAAGACTCTCAGTTCATATCAAGCTTTTGAGATGAGTTTACACAGATTCTAAGCATAAAACTGAAACTCTCAACAGTGCATCACACACAAACTAATGAATAGATAAAAGTGATAAATCAATACATTGTCACCTATCTATATCTCTATATCAGTTACTATCAAGATAACTGAGATGAGTGACTACTTATTATAAATTATATCTTCACAGCTATCTTAAATACTTTCACAGAGATCTTCTTCTTTCTCATAGTAAATGAATATGAACTCTGAATGTCATTTGACTGATAATTACTGATAAAGAAATTGAATATGAATGAGAAAAGAAATTAAGAAGCAGCAAGAAGCTTTATTCACTGAATGAGAGAGATCTGAAATCAAACAAGTAAAGATATAAAAACAATATAGAAATAGATGAAGAGATAGATTAATAAGTATCATTAAGAGTCTGACTTTATAGTAGAAGATTATGTTTGTATAATATTAAAATGATATAAGATGAATCAATCAAGCTGTAAACTGGCAGAGTAGAATACTGATTTCTTCAGAATTGTGAAAAAGATGAGCAATGTCTACAAACTGAATCTTTCTGCAATAATGAAAATTTATTTAATCTTCTTCTCAGATAATTTATATAAGAACTTCAGAGATTCTCTATCTAATCAGACTGTCAAATCATCAGACATAATTAAAATAGACAGTGAGAGTGAATGAGAAATAGATTGTATACTGATTAGTTGAATAAGCTGAAGCAAGCTGCAGTATCAAATATGCTAAAAGAGATTTGATGAGAATTCTTCATGATATTCTACTTATAAATTCAAAAGATCATCATATACAATATAGGATTTTCATAAGGTCAATTCTACTAAAGCTGAATCACTGAAACATTTAGATGAATGAGTAAGAACATGAGAGACAGACAACTATCTGAAAGATGATGATGATGATTTTTCAGCACAAGAGCATGTCTGTTTCTGGATTAAAGGGTGATGTTAGACTCAGCACTAGGGCTAGGTTCATCCCTATCACATGATCACGCCTCATATGTAATCTAGCGGATTGTGTAGCGGCGCCCGCCTGGGTGGCATTGCTCTAACGACCACCCCGCCCACACATGATTGCTTGTATGTAATATAGCAATAACCTAGCTAGCTCCTCTGAATAGAAGGTTCAACCATCCCACAGGTTATAGTTCAGATAGCTGATTTTTGATAAAAATTGCATTAAGAACAGCTGTGTATATGTTTGAATGAGTTCACTCTCTGATTTAATGACTGGACTATCTACTCCTTTAACAGAGAAAAAGCAATCTTTATGATCACATTCTAGAGCTATTGAAGTATTCTCATCACTAGATAAGAATGAAGAATTAGAAGACCTGAAGCAGGAATCAAGTTCAAACTGCATCATGAATTCATCAAGCTGTAAGCCTGGTGAAATGCTCACTTCTGAGTCTATATGTAAATTCATGACAGCTAGTGAAAGAACCCTAAGTCCTCAGTTTCAAATGTCTACTTCTAATGTGATTGACATGATTACAATGAGTGTAGTAGATTTATTGATCTTTTGTCAACAAATGACACATCAGAACACTTCAAATATCAACAATGATATACCTGCAAATGATTTCAAATCTCAGATCTGTGAATATCAAAAGAATATTCAAAGAGCTATAGATACTAAGATAATAACTACATTTGATGATACTAATTATCAAATCTGATATATGAGAATTCTTGCAGATGCTGAAGTCATTGATAAAACTGACATTTTAATCAAAAATCAACACATCTGTCCAGATGATATTAGTCAAAATATGTTG